CTGTACAATAAGATAATATTTCTGTGTGCCTGACTGCCTTTTGTCAGGAACACATTCAAAACATAAATTAAATCATTTGGTTTGGCCTCTTAAACTAGATGCAGAAAAGGTGGAGGGGCAGCCTGTGAAAGGATCGATAAGAAAAGATGAGGGGCTGAACAGCTCTCTCCAATCTAACACTTTCCAGATTAGACCCAACTCCCATTATCTTTAGTCCACATATCCAACTACAGTACTAGAGAAGGGTGATGGAAGGATAATCAAATACACTGAATGAGTAAAATCGTATGCAGCAGCATACGATCGTATGCAGCAGCAGTTTGGTGTTTTGGGCCTTAAACTGTAGCCCTATATAATATTGTACAACTGGAGGTCATATTTACCATATGGCAATGAGCAGAGCCTACTCATGTACTCATTCTAAGATAATCACTACTCATCACGGAACCTATACTGGATTCCCACATCATATTAAACCTCTATGCAATTTGTTTCTGAACCAAAGCACTGTAATATATAAACTTTGATTTATGGCTTAATAAATATATAGAGCTACTTATTTATAGCTTACAGATAGTCCTTGACTTATAACCATTCATTTAGTGACCATTTGAAGTTACACCAGGAAGCTTCATACTTACAACAGTTGCAGCATTCACATGATCACTTAATCAAAATTTGGGCGCTTGGCAACTGGCATGTATTTCTGGCAGTTGCACTGTCCCAGGGTCACGTGATCACAATTTGTAACCTTCCCAGCTGACTTTCAACAAACAAAGTCAAAGGCAGAAGCCAAATTCACTTAATGACCACATGATTCATTTAACAACTGTGGCAAAAAGGTCATAAAATGGGGCAAAACTCACTTAACAACTGCCTTGCTTAACAACTGACATTTTGGGCTCAATTGTAGTCTTAAGTCCACAATTGTATTCAATGAAACATAATTAAATGGTGGCTTAGTGCATTCTGTGAAGTACTCAATGTTTAAATGGAGATGAAAAATTACTGCATTTATTCTGGGGGTTATGTTATATTTAATATATTTTTATAGCGTACAATCACATCTGAAAGAAGAGTACAATAAAATATTAAATACAATAACATAAAAGGAAATTAAAAGGAAATACATAATCATTAAAGAGGTGAGGGAAAGAGGGAAAGGAAAGGAAAACCAAAATAAATTTATACCAACAAAGCCCAGATGAAGAGAAAGACTTTCAGAAGGTAGCTAAAGATATTATATGAGCAAGTCTGTTACAATGCACTGTAGTACTTGTATTGAGAAAACCAGTCAGAAGTAGGATTTTTATAGGTCCGTAGGGATTTTTGTAAACTTGATGGCAAAACTGGACATGGACATCCAGCAAACCACAGAAAAGGTTTCTTAAGAGCACAGGCAGATATATTTAAATTTGATTTAAAAATTGCAGTTAGCTACAATCCCCAGTTATTTATTCCCATGGAAGTTTGAAACCAAACAGAATGAAAAGCCTCATTGGATATGTCCATACAAATCATTTAATTATTCGGTTACCCCACCTTATTTTGGTTCACATGTTTTAATTCCAGCGGGTGCTGTTGATTTTTTATAATATTACTTAATCTATGATGATTACAGGTAACACAATAAAGAATTAGGGATGTGCATTCAAAACCGATTTTTAAAACTCTGTGACTCAACATTAACGATAAGAATGATTTGAATTAATTTCACTAAGCAATAGACTGGCAACAGAGTGCAGGTGGTTACTAGGGACTTCCATAATGAAATACATTAGCAAAACTTTGAAATTGCAGAACTCTTGATTTATAACGAAGCAGCGTTTAGTTGAAGATTGGGTTCTTAACTTTATTCATCAGCACCACAGCCTAGTAGAATCTAGATATCATGATATTCTTTTACAATGATAAAAATTGCTGTAATTCAGCAAAAGCTCAAGCATCTCATTCAAGGGAAACTGAGGGACTGCACAGAAAGTATATTGCCATGTGTCTTGTTAATAAACATTATTTCAAGCACAACTTTCACTGGTTTAGACTTTTTCAGTGTTTGGCTGATTCACTTTTTCAATTTCAGTAATGTTCAGGCCTTTTTAATAGCTTTGTTTATGTCACTTTTTCTCTTTCTTCCTATTTCTTCTTTTCCAGAACACTTGCTTGTTTAC